AAAAAAAAAAAAAAAAAAACAGCGACGACGATGACGATTTTTTTTTTTTTATCATTTTCATTCATTCGGTTGATTACGATGATGATGATGATGTTGATGATGATAAAGACGAAAAAACAAAAAGAAAAAAAAAAAAAGTTTGTCTGTCGGGTTTGTTTGTTTTTGATAGAAATAATATTGAGTATTGAAAAATTTAAATGTAAAAAAAGAAAAAGAAAGAACAGGAACGGGAGAGGAGAAGAAGAAGGAGGGGAATGATTACAAAGTTATTACATAAACGATTTCTCTCTCTATCTCTCTCTCTATCGTATTTTAATGACCGGAAATGACGATAATGATAATAATAAAAATAATTTAATAATAATGATTATATGTATATATAATAAAAGGTAATAATGAAATAATAATAATAATAATAATAATAAGTTTTACGTAAACCTTTCAAACGAGAAAAAGGAAAACCTTTTGTGCCGTTCAACGGCATCTTTATAAATTAATTATAAATTGCCGCTTTTGTTTTACGACTTCTGTCTGTCCGGGTGGCTTTTCTTTCATCCCTTCCTTTTCTCTTCTACCCCCTTACCTCTCCCCTACACGAGCTCATAACCCCGGTTTTTTTTTTTTTTTCAATTGTGTGTTTACAAACAAAAGAGGAAGAGGGGGGAAAACAAAAAAAGGTTAGAAAATATTTTAATCAGGTATTTTACGGAATAAACGCGAGAGGTTAAAAGTTGATAACTTGTTAAAGTTCACCAAAAGGTCAAAATTAAATGAATTTTCGCCCTTGAAAATTATTATTATTATCATCATTATTATTATTACTGTTATTATTTGGATGAGGTGAGGAAATTTTCAAAGTTTTTACCCCATTAAAAAATTTTATTTTAAAATTGTTTTCCTAATTTTTTGTATTTTTCGCGTCGAGTATGTGTGTGTGTGCGCACGCGCGTGTGTCTGAGTTTAAATAAATATTTGAAATATTTTATTAATGCCAACTTTTGAACGTGAAATTTTATTTTTAAAACAATAAAATTTATAAAGTTTGTTGTTGATAGTAGTTTGGTTTGATAGTAATGTAGAGTTGTTTGAAAAACCTTTTTTTTTTCAAGGGAAGAGAAGGGGGAAGGAAAGAAGAGAGATAAAGAGAGATAGAGAGAGAGGAAAAGATTTAAAAAATTCTGTATTCAGGTTTCTTTGGAGAGTTTTAAAAAAAGGTAAACGGAAATGTTTATATACTCAATACTTTTAAAAAATATTTTATTATTATTATATACGGTTGTGTGTTATTATCGGAATTTTTTTTTTTTTTTGTAAAGGTTAGCGAGAGAAAAGTAATTTAAAATAATGATAATAATAATAATAATAATGAAGATTCCAACCCTGTACAAAATTTTTCTTTTTATTATTATTATTATTATTTTTATTATTAAATAAACGAAAATTGTCGGAGTTTGTTAATCAAGTTTTTTTACTTAACAAAATGTTTAAATGAATTACATAAATAAAAGGTCAAATTTTCCGACGTTTTTTTTCTTTTTTTCTTTTTTCTCACAAAGAAAGAGAGAGAGAGAAAGAGAGGGGGGAGAGAGACACAAAAAAAATGTCGGAGAAAATATTTTAGGTATGAAAAAAATTAAGGCTGACAATTTTAAATGAGAGAGGAGGAAAGAAGGAAAAAAAAAATTTAATTTAATTACTACTCGCGTTTATTATTTATTTTGTAATTATTACGACGCATTCGTGTCGTCATTTCCGTTTTTAACCATCGTCAGTTCCGAATAAAGTTTTAAAAATAATTTTTTTCTTATATTTTATTAAGTGATAATACCGCGTAAAAAAAAAAAACAAAAATTTTAGTATTTCAAAAATCAAGACTTGTTTCCCTTTTCGTTCTCACGTTTTCCGCCATGTTCTTTTTTTCCCATAACATTTATTGTT